CCCCCCTCCCCCACTCCGTGTCATCCACAAAGAAAAACTTCTCCTTCCACCCCTTAATGGAGGAAGGACCTGTAGTGAACAGGTTTCTACTCCTCCCCCCAACTACCCGAGGTGTAAAGTAAAACCACCACTTCTCCCTCCCACTACCCCCCTTGATTATAAAGAAATATTTAAATAGATCTACAATTGGAATTCGCACCCCTCGAAGTTGGCAGTATACTAAAAATCCCACTACCAATCGAACTCCATTGGGGATGAGCTACGTTAACCCCAACCCGTATTCTTTTAGCAGCGCTACTAACAACTCCGGGATTGGAAACCGGAGCCCAGCTACCAGGTAATGCGCGTATAATGGCATTCAATGGTCTTTTGGAGCCGAACACGCTCGCTCCTCACCTCCTGCTGGCCGTACCAGCACATAGGGTGGGATACTATAGTTCTCCACTAAGTGCCCCAGCTCCCCCTTGCACCTCCAGCACGACTCATACCCCACCACCTCGTCACTCTCGTCATAACACCTTCCCCGATTGTCACCAACCTTTAAAATGTTGGTTGGGACAAGGCTACCCTCTTGACCCCCATTTCCCCCACTAACTGGGGTCCCACCCCCACTTCCCCCACTCGAGCTCGAAGTCGAGACGGAGCTCGAAGTCACGTCCCTCACCCCTTCTTCTCCTCCAACACTTAGTGTTCCTTCAGACGACATCTTTGCTATCAGTCTTCACTAAAAGAAGTACGTCACCAACAGTAATCAGCATCACCTACAATCTCTATTTTTTACTTCCCCCCTTCCTACTTGAGTGCCTAACCCCCTTATCTAGGCTAATAAAATAAAGCAAGATTACAAGGGACCGAGGTAGAACTCAGAGTTACCTGGTTTTCTGCGACGAAGTCTAACACTTGAGAAAATGCTAGCAAATATCACGATCTCTGCAACCGTCAGCTCGGAAGACGAAGTGCTCTCGCGATTTCAGCAGGGCTTCGCTACAAATTGAGCTAGGTAAAATTATGAATAACTTAAGGCTAGTTATTTATACCCAGCCTCTCCCCCGTTTTCACGGTCACGATTGCCCACGTTCAACGGCCACGATCGCATCCTTTCGAATTCGACAGTTATTCCTGACATCATTTATTACAGCACGGCACGCGAGGATAGCTGTCAACCTCGATTACACCATTTTATTACATTTTATTTTATTTTATTTTATTTTACCTCCGTTCACTTCAACCTTCTTCCAAAGGAATTGCACGATTAAATACTTCTCGAACAATCTTCACTTATGATATTTTTTACTTCGGCTCCGACCATTCCCCATGACCACGTGTCATGATATTTTTTCCTTCGGCTCCAACCGTTCCCCATGACCACGTGTCATGATATTTTTCACTTTGGCTCCGGTCGTCTCCCATGACCACGTGTCACGCGACTCCTTAACCCCATGCCCTAATCTCCACCCCTCACCTCAACGCCAGCACAAACTCCCGCATCATTCACAAGTGAATGACTTCGTGGGGGGGAATAGTATAGTGGTGGTAGACAAAGGTCATGAGGTATCAGAGGTATGTGGTATGACAGAGGTCATGAGGTATCAGAGGTATGTGGGTTGACAGAGGTCATGAGGTATCAGAGGTACGTAGACAATCAGAGGTCATGAGATGAAGCATGTTGCCAGTCCGAAGTCGCATACTTCGTAGCTGCCCAAGATACGCAACCTCGAACACCCGGAGCGGCTCCCGACATCTAGTCACCTCGATTCGATCGTAGGATGACGAGCTCGGTCGGGCTCAAGCTCGTCCCTTCTGCTCCCACTCCACAGTAGTTCCGTACACAAGCAAACCCCTCATGTGAAGCTCCTGCGATGTTTGACACGTGTTGCCCCGGTTTCTCGGAGGGATCGACATGTGTACATCCCCTAAAGGCCTATAAATACCCCTCAGGGTCCATCTCAGAAAGGTATTGGAAACCGACCTCAAACTCAGCTTTTACTCTCGTTCTATAACTGGTAGCTCTGATTATTGCTGACTTAAGCATTGAAGTGTCTACCCCGAGAACCAACCTCGGGGCCTTGCAGGATAGCCGAAGTGAAGACTTGAGATCTGGAGTACCTCCCAGTTTTCTACAACTACAGAGACCTATAGATTTTGTTCCAGCCCTTGGCTCACTTTTCGATGAGCCACACTTTGATCCAAACCAAACTGCTATAGCAAGTTTGTGAGGGGGAAAAGGGACGAACGAAGGAGGAAGAAAGGAGAGGAAGCAAAGAGAAGGAAAAATGGAGAGATGAAGACAAAGGGTACAAAGATATTTTTGTCTTTTATTTAGTTTTTTTTTTTTTTTGAACTTTTTATCATGCGACGGTCTGAAACCTACCTAAGAAAAAGATATGTACTATTTCAATGGCATGAGCCATTGGCCACGGGCCTAGTGCGTCTTTTAGTTTTATTAATTATTTTAATTAAATTAAATCATATAAGGTTTGCCTCACTGCCTATCACCAAACAAATAGCCAGCTAATCAAAGAAATGGCTTCCAACAATGCTTGTGGATCCCACCAAAGCTTTTCACCGTTAGTTTTAAACGACCTAATGACGTGTCCCGTTCAATATGGGCTTTTTTGCCTTTTTTGCCACCGTTGAAGAGTTTAGGGTGTTGAATGCGTCTGATTTTGGTTGAGGGGTTAATATGCCACCTGTCCACAAGTTTAAGGGTTTATTTGCATGATTTGCCCAAACCAGAAAACATTTTGATCTTGAAAGCTAGGAGATTATTAAAGCAATTAGATATATACTCAGTTTAAAAAATAATCATAAAATAGAAATAATAACATTAATCTTTAAAAAATAAATAAATTTAAATAACTTAAATTAAAAATTAAATTTATTAAAATTTATAAGAGTATTAATTCTTCATCGCGCAACTCCAATAATGAGTCTGTTTGGAGAGCATAAAAAATACTTACTTTAAATTAAAATACTATTCTCCCTCACAAGTAAAAATTTAATTGGAAAAAAGTTTTAAAAAAATTAAATATATAACTTCTTTAAAATTTACTTAAAATTAATTTTAAATATTTTAAATAAAATTTAAATTTATAATAAAATATAATATTTT